CCTCCCCCCTTCTCCCTCTCTTCTCCTCCTCCTCCCTCCTCCCTTCTCCCTCCTCCACACTCCCCCCTCCCCCCTCCTCCCTCTTCCCTCTTCCTGCTCCTCCTCCTCCCTCCCCCCTTCTCCCTCCTCCATCTCGCTCCTCCCTCCTCCCTCCCCCGTCCCTTTTCCATGCGAACTCCCTCCTTCCGCCTTGGACTTTCACCATTACTCATGATTCTGAAGCTTACCATTTGTAGCAGTTTCACGGAAGGAGGGCGTGTGCTTTTCAACGTGTCGCTCTCAACCCAGCGCCGCGCACATTCGTCTTACAAGCTTGCAGCAGTCTCACGGATGGAGGGCGGGGCGTTGTCAAACTGTGGCTCTCGCCTCAGCGCCGCGCACATTCGTCTTAAACTTGTGCGACACTTCCATGGATGGAGGGCGGGCGGTTGACAAAAAGCGGGTCTCGCTGTCGCGCCAAGCACATTCGTCTTAAACGTTTGTTCCTGTGTCAAGGATGGAGGGCGGTTCCTTTTCAGAACGGGGCTCTGCCTTAGCGCCGCGGAGTGTTTGTTGTGAAAGCCTGCAACAACTTGAATGGCTCGTCTATAGAAAACCCCCGGAACGGTATTCAGGCACTTTCTAGAACTGTCAGGACGCAACCGTCTCTTGATTCAGGGTGTTGACGTCCCAAGAAAGGTGTCCTGGTGCAAATTAGGATTGCCAGGACACAGCAGCCACGTTGATTCGTGGCATTGAAATCCCCAAATTTGTGTTCTGGCAGAATAGCGGATTCTCAAGAGGTTGTCTTCCAAGGGGAGACTTTCAGCAATGATACCAAACTTCTTGTAGGGGCCTATTATTGAGAAGGAACTTGGAGGGAGGGTTGATTGCAACGTCGTTCATGCATCTCGGGCTTACCCTGGTCCTCCTCCTCCTCCTCCTCCTCCTCCTCCTCCCTTCTCCTCCTCCCCCTTCCCACACCCTCCTCCCTCCTCCCTTCTCTTCCTCCTCCTCCTCCTCCTCCTCCTCCTCCTACCTCTGAAGAGCGCGCACCCCTCCTCCAGCTCCTCCTCCTCCAGCTCCTCCTTCTCCAGCTCCTCCTCCTCCTCCTCCTCCTCCTCCTCCTCCTCCCCGTCGTCCTCCTCCTCCTCATCATCCTTTTCCTCCCTCTCCTCCTTCGCCTCTTCCTCCTCCTCCTCCTCCTCCTCCTCCTCCTCCTCCTTCTCGACTCTTCTTCCCTCCTCCCTCCCCCAAACAGGGGGTATGGCGGCCCCAATCCCCGCCTTCGTGCGAGTTCCGATGGACCAAGGCATCTCGGGCCAGACTCGGGGAGATACGATAGGGGGGGGGTCCATACACGATAGGGGTGCGGCCGACTAGCCCCGTGGGGGTGGTCTCCCCGAGAGTTCCCATCCTCGGCTGAGCGGCCCGCGGAGGCCCCGGGAGGCCTGCAGGAGATCTCTGGCCAGCGACCCCGGCACGGCTGCATGATGGGCCGGAGGCCACTCGACGATGAGGTCAACGCAATGAGCACAGCATGCATAGTATAGAGGAAAAAGAACTATGCACATGCACCGATTCTGGCCAGGCCCATCCTGAGCCCAGGATCGGTGCATACGCCCTCCTACCTTGGCCAGGAAGGCATATGCACCAATCCTGGGTCAAGGATGGGCCTTGCCAGGATCGGTGCATGTGCAATGTTCTCTGCGCCCGATAGTATCAGCACCGAAGGAAAGCATGGCGGTGCCTAGCACCGTACAGCACACCCAGCACAGCACGGCAACGCACATCATAGCACAAACAGCATCTGCGCGAATACTCCGCCGCCCCGCTTGTGGGGCCACCAGGCTCCGCGGATTGGGCCTGCCGCTCCCTGCTCCAGTTCCAATGTCCAATCTCCGAGATTGCAATCCTGCTTTCTGCTTCCTACTGTGAATTCTTGAAGTCCGCGCGAGGGGGAGAGCCGAAAAGGGCTCTGGTTACCACCCCCTGGGGGGGTTCTCACAGTTTCTGGGGGTCCCATGGCACCTGCAAATATAAAGATTCGGCTCCCGAGACCATATCCCATCGTAAATTACGCCATGCTCGCGCCCCCGAGGCCGCAATCCTTGGTTAGTTAGACAAGAGTCGCGTCCTCGCCAATTACGCTGTGTTCGCGCTCCCGAGACCATACTCCCCATTAGGTTTAACAATAGTCGCGTCTCCGAGGCAAAACGCTCACGTAAGTTACACAATAGTTGTGTTCCCGAAGCCACGATCACGCGAAAATGACGTGTTCATCGCGTCCCCGAATTCACAACCGCCGTAAAGCATGGATTATTCGCGCCTTCGAGGCCACAATCCTATATAAAAGGCACCCAAGACGGTACAAGAGGCCTCCGAGACGGCCCAAGAGTGCTCCAAAGCGCCTAAGATGGCCCCAAGACGGCCCACCAGGCTACCGAGAGGCTCCCAAGAGCGCTCTAAGAGCACCCCCAAGAGGGGCCCAAGAGGCCAATATCTGCCATGCTCCTTGCGTGTTTGATGAATTTTGCCACGCTTATATCTGCAGTGGCCCCCGTTCGGAGTTCCGACGCTGCTTCACGACGGCGCCCAGGCCTCACAACATGGCTCTTGCATACCCCATTCTCCGAGAGAGAGAGAGGGCCGGCGGCAGGGGGCGAAGCCCTACGGATACTTGCCCAAATCGCGAGGGACTGGCCTGACAGGCAAGACCAACCAGCGCTCATCTTCATACCAGAGACAAAAGCCCTCATAGCTGACTGGGTGAAAGAGTGTCGCTTTGGCTTCGCGACGCCCAGGGGAGGGTGTGGGATCCTCCTCCTCCTCCTTCTCCTCTTCGGCCGCCTCCTCCTTGTCCCCCGCCTCCTCCTCCACCCCGCTCAAAAATCAGCCTCAGAATTTCCAGACGGATTCGACCGTGCGACGAGAACCATCCCGGAGGCATAACAACGAATGAAACCCGAACATTTCAAGCCTCTTCCTCCGCCTCCTCCTCCTCATCATCAGCAACAATACCATCAACAACAACAACACCATCAACATCACCATCACCATCATCACCATTACCGCCGTCCTTGGCATCATGATCACCATCACCACCAACCTCGGCATCATCATCATCATCATCAGCAGCATCATCATCAGCATCACAATCACCATCACCATCATCATCCTCATCGTAGTCATCATGATCAACATCGTCATCATCATCATCATCATCATCATCATCATCATCATCTTCATCATCATCATCATCATCATCATCAGTATCATCATCATCATCATCATCATCGTCATCATCATCATCACCATCATCATCATCATCATCATCATCATCATAATCATTACCATCACCATCACCATCGTCATCATCAGCATCGTTGCCACCATCAGAACCAGCAGCAACATCAAAGCAGCATCACCACCACCATCACCACCATTACCATCAGTTTCACCATCATCATCATCGTCGTCATCATCACCATACTCATCATCATCATCATCATCATCATCAGCATCATCATCATCATCATCATCATCATCATCATCATCATTCAACATCATCATCATCAACATCACCATCATCGTCACCACCAACATCATCAACGCCATCATGATCATGATCATCACCAACACCAACAGCAACAATCCTAATCTCCCCTGTCCTCCCTCCTTCTCCTCCTCCTCCTCCTCCTCCTCCTCCTCCTCCTCCTCCCTTCACAGCATTCACCCTACGGAGCGGGGACATCACAGTCGAGAGAGGGTCCTGAGCAGACTCGCTTCAGAACCGCAGTGCGCTTTGCCCCTAGATGGCGCGCCCGCACTTTCCCTAGAGGTGAAAGGCGCGTCGGACAAAAAATCCCTCTTCGTCGGTCCTCCTTTGGCGGCGCGCACAAGAGGGTAGGGGGAGGGGTGAGCGTTTTCTTATTCGGCGTTTCGACATTGAGCGAGAGGGGGGGGGGGGTCTGGCTCTGGACCTCTGCTCAGTGCGACTGTTTGCGACAATGCGTCCTATGAGGGGAGACTCCACCTCTCCGAAACAGGCGCCCCAAACAGCAAAGATCTACTCCATAGGGGGGGGGGGAGGGGAGGTGCGAGGGCCCGTGCCGATCGGCAAAACAAGGAAAAAGAAAACGATCGCTAGAAGGAAGCTACTTCTAAGAAGGCGCGGGGCTGACGTCTGTAGACAAGGCCCGCGCCTTGTAACTACCAGGGGTGCTTCTGAGAAGCATCCCCCCCTCCCCCCACCCCCCTCTGCGCGTGGCCGGCTCCTGTCGGAGGAGGGCCACTTGAGACAACGGCGGCTCTCCCGCCCAGCAGATGCCCGATCAAAGTCGGTCCCCGGACCCCTACCAGGTGCCATCCTCCAAGGCCAGGCTGACGGCGATGTTGCTGAACGGTGATGTTGGGAACCAGGTTGTGGGACATCGCGAGCCACACTTCCCTACATTCCCCATCTGCGAATGGATCGAGCGAGCACGACACAGCGAACTGCAGGACAGCGCGAGCCACGCGCTCCCAGAATACCTACACCTACAGTGGGGGCCCGACCACAACCTTCCACAAGAAACCCTAACCCTGAGACCCCAGGACGTCCATCGGTTTTTGGTGTGGGAACGTCACTGTCTTCCACAGTAAAACCATCGAAACCCAAGAAACCCAGGGCACCCTGGAGGCAAGCAGGGTGCTTCTTGGCATGGGCCTCCACTGTACATCGCCGCTGCCTACATCGCCGTTCGCCCGTCGGCGGATCCTGGCCCACTCTCCGCGGCGGACATCCGGCCGAGGCGACGAGAGGCCTCCAGGAAATGTCCAGAGAACTGGCGAGGAGCACACGCCGGAGGGCAGCCGGGAGCAGGGTGTTTCTTGGCATGGGTTTTCCCTTACACTCAAGAGTGACCCTAGGCAAGATTGACCTTTTGGTGCGCGGCGTAACGGGGGACGCGGGGTGGCCAAACTCAGGCGCGCAAGCAGCTGATAGCGGTTCGCGTTCAGCGATCGGGGGGCCCCATTGAGCCCGCACCAAAGGTCACTCCAGCGAAAAGTCACTCTGACGTCTAGTCGAACTTTTCACGCTTCAGTAGGCTCATCCCCGCCCCCTGAAATTGCCTGGCCTGTCATGCAGAACGGCCCGATGCCCGCGGTGGGAGCCCGTTGCGTGCCGCAGAACCAGCTTGGGCCGTCATGCTGCATGTCGCAAAAGGTCCTGGCGCAATGTCGGCCCAGACCCGTCAACTTGCCTGACCACATCTGCCAACTCGTTTTGTATAGCCCTGTTTACAGCATGTCCGCATCTCGCGCACACCCAGGATACACAACAGTGTGGGTTGCATCCTCTCGAGTCTATTCATTCAGTGGGCATTGATGCCGATCGCCGAGTCACTGGGCCAATGGTGTGTCGGGCTAGGCCCACCAGTGTGCCATGGAGTTGAATCAGGACCGACCCTGCGCTGAATCGAGATATGAACTCCAAAATAATAGTCAAAATCATGCAACTGCGATTGCCACGGAACCGTAACATACCAATAAAAGGGCACCAGGCTGGGCTGTGAAAAGCTGAAAAGTATTCGTAGCCCTGACGTTGCAGATTGGAAGGAAAAACAACAACAAATCCGACCAGAGATGTACATACCAATCCGATATCTCGGATCGAAATCAGTTCGGCTGGCTGGATATCGCAACCACCCAACTGGCCTGGCATCTTGCCGACCGCCGCGATAACCCATACCCTCTTCGGGAACAAATGATAAACCCGATTGTGCCTGCTAGAACTTGAATTTCGGAGCTGATGTCCCGAAGCTCATTGTTTTGGCTTTGCTTCGCTAGACATGTTGCATGTTAGCTTCCCGTTGTTTGTTTGTTGGCGGTGACGGCCGCTGACAAGGGCCTTAATAGTTGCACTGAGGCTGACGATGTCTGGCTCCAGCTTGGACTGCCACAATTCCAGGGCAATCAGCAACGCTTGTTGCCACTCCCCATGGCGGCCACATGCTTCAATGGCACCCATCAAAGTGTACTGGTCCGGTTCCACTTTATCGTCCTGCACTTCTCTGAACACTGACAGCGCCACTCGCCACTCCCCACATCTCCCACACGTCGTGATTGCAGTGTTGTAGTTGAGAACGTTTAGCTTCAACTTTCCTTGCTTCGCCTCGCAGAGCAGCCACAGAGCCTGGTCCCACTGCTTGCCCTTCTCGCACGCACCGATCCCAGACCCGCAGCTAATGGCGCAGGGCTCAACATTCGCCTCCCGCATCTCGCTGAGCAGCGACAAGGCACGCTGCCACTGGCTGCCTTTGCTGAGCGCGCTGATCCCAGCGTTGTAGCTGACGACAGTGGGCGCCACTTTCGCCAGGCACATCTCGCTGAACAACGCCAATGCGTATTGCCATTTTCTACCCTTCTCGCACGCGCTGATCCCAGCGCTGTAGCTGTAGACATTAGCCTTCACTTCCGCCTCACTCATCTCGCTGAGCAGCGCCAAAGCCTGCTGCCACTTCTTGCCTTTCTCGCACGCGCTGATCCCAGAGCTGTAGCTGAAGACATTGGGCTCCACTGTCGCCTGACACATCTGGCTGAGCAACACCAGCGCCCGTTGCCACTGCCCGCCCTTCTCACACGCGCTGATCCCAGCGCTGTAGGCCATGACGTCGGGCTCCACTGTCGCTTCCAACATCTCGCAGAACAACACCAAGCCATGTCGCCACTGCTCGCCTTTCTCGCATGCGCTGATCCCGGCGCTGTAGCTGATGATATTAGACTCCACCTGCACCTCCTGCATCTCGCTGAGCAGCACTAGAGCGGTCTGCCACTGCTTACCTTTCTCGCACGCGCTGATCCCGGCGCTGTAGCTGATGATATTAGGCTCCACCTGCACCTCCTGCATCTCGCTGAGCAGCACTAGAGCGTGCTGCCACTGCTTACCTTTCCCGCACGCGCTGATCCCGGCCGTGTAGCTGATGAAACTGGGCTCCACCTGCACCTCCTGCATGTCGCTGAGCAGCACTAGAGCCCGCTGCCACTGCTTGCCTTTCTCGCAAGCGCTGATCCCGCTGTTGTAGCTAAAGACGTTGGGTTCCAATGTCGCCTCCCGCATCTCGCTCAGCAGAGATATAACCTGTTGCCACTGCTTGCCCCTCTCGCATGCACTGATCCCGGCGCTGTAGCTGAAGAAATTGAAATTGGCACGTATCGAAACCATCTCTCTTAATACGGACAGAGCTTGCTGCCACTGCGTGGCTTTTCTGTATGCGCCGCATGCGCTTATGGCCACAGCGCTTGAACTTGCTACTCTACTCGTTTGGGGGGATTCGATGACCGGTTACAGCGCCACGATACGTTGTTCTGTCCAGGCGCATTTCTTGGAGGCCGCCTCGATGGAAGACACGGTTGGTCGAGATCCTCGCTGGATGTCTATCATCCTCGTATGTATGTATGCATGCATGCATGCATGTATATCTGTGTGTATGTATAAATGCCTGAGATACGTGCGGTATGTGTATGTGGTCCAGGGCAAGGGGTTTATGTATGTGCGGTGTGTCATGCATGTATATATGTATGCGTATGTGTGTATGGATGCATGCATGTATGTATGTCGTATGCATGCATGTCTGTATGGATTCATGTATTGATGTACGTACGCATGTATGTACGCATGTATATCCGCATGCATGTGTGTATGCATGTATGCATGTATGCATACATGTATGGATGTATGTCTACATGTATGCATACATGCAAGACTGCAGGCATGCATGTACGCATATATGCTGGTATGCACGTATGCATGACCGTATGCATGTATGCGTGTATGCACGTATGCGTATGTGTGTGTGCCTGTATGTGTGTGCGTATCTAGGTAGGTATCTATGGATGTGTGTATGCATTTATACATGCATGATATACATAAGAATGAATGAATGAATGTATATGGGTACGCGATTTTGTGTACATATACACATAGGGCAACAGGTTAAGACTGGCGTGATTCCAACTGTGGGGCCTCTTGTGGTGAGAGGCAAGGAGGTAGCTATGAAGAGCAACCCAAGATCGCCAATATCGACAACGCCTGCCTGCGAACTGCGAATCTCCTCGAGAGCTAGCCTCTGCTCGCACCAAACCACGGCTACGGGAAACCGGCACCCGCAGCCCGATCCTGGGAAAGGCGGCTGCGCGGCCGCTCCAAGGGCCGAGGGGGGGGGGGTGCTGCAAACACAGTGCGACTCGCTCCACGAGCAGCCCAGAGCACCGACAGAGCTCTGGACTCCCGGACACCCTCGCGATGTGACAAAAATCACGACGGGAGTTTTTTCGCTGCGTTCGGCCTCCCGGGGCCCTCACCGGGCCCCTGGACCGCCAGAAAACGGCTCAGGATGAAAAACCGGTCCCGGGGAAAGGGTCCAGACCTCTGGGGGTCGACGCCGTGAAAAAACCACGACGTCGTCTGGGCTGCACGGCGGGGGGGCTGAAGTACCGACGGCAGAGGCGGGGGCCCGGACCACAATGCCCTGGACTGCCGGTCCAGGGCCGAGGGGGCTGAGGTGCCGCCGGCGCCGAAGATGGCGTCTGGATCGCCCGTGCGGTCACAGGCGGGAGTGGCTCGGGGGGGGGAGACATCGACCTGGAGTCGGCGATACCTCGCCGACGGATCAGGGAGAGGTACCCGAGGACGAAGCCGCACGTTCCTGGGCGTGCTGGGATACCAGGCCCTCATCGTCCACCGGCGAAGAATGGGCGATTGGGGGTCGACTTGGTTCGGGCATGTCCCCCCACTGGCGGATTTCAAGCGAAAGCCAAAAAATAGTGAACAAATTACTCACTGCGTGGACCTCCCCCTATGTGCATCTCATGTTTTATGTCATGCCATAGTGAGCGTCTGTTCATGAGCGCTTGACTATACTAGCGCGCCCACGTGGGCGACAGGGCCGACGAAAACGACTGAATCCTAATGCGAGTGAGTGAGTATAAGTCAGAGTGAGCTTTGAGTATGATTGAATATGAGCCTCCCATTCATTCCCCATCCTCAATATTCTGGCCGCGAACGGGCCCGTGTCCTACCCCCTGGCGGTTCCTTTAAGGGTGTTGAAACCAGCGCCCCGCCTGAGACATCCTCACAAACTGCTCTAAACGCGGACGAGTCTGCCCACCAAAACAGCCCAACCGCCTCAGACATCTCCGCAAACTGGCCGCGAACGGGCTCGTGAAAACACCCCTGGCGGCTCCCCGTAAGATTGCTGAAACCCGCGCCCCGCCTGAGACATCCTCACAAACTGCTCTAAACACAAACGCGTCCGCCCACCAAAACAGCCAAACCGGCTGAGACATCCTGACAAACTGGCCGCGAACGGGCCCGTGAAACGACTCCTGGCGGCTCCCCTTACGGGTGCTGAAACCAACGCCCCGCTTTAGACATCCTCACAAACTGCTCTAAACGCAGACGAGTCTGCCGACCAAAACAGCCAAACCGCCTGAGACATCTCCACAAACTGGCCGCGAATGGGCCCGTGAAAACACCCCTGGCGGCTCCCCTCAGGGGTGCTGAAACCAGCGCCCCGCCTGAGACATCCTCACACACTGCTCTAAACGCAAACAAGTCTGCCCACCGAAACAGCCAAACCGCCTGAGACATCCCCACAAACTGGCTGCGAACGGGCCCGTGAAAACACCCCTGGCGGCTCCCCTCAGGGGTGCTGAAACCCGCGCCCCGCCTGAGACATCCTCACAAAGTGCTCTAAACGCAGACGAGTCCGCTCACCAAAACAGCCACACCGCCTGAGACATCCTGACAAAGTGGCAACGAACGGGCCCGTGAAAACACTCCTGGCGGCTCCCATTAGGGGTGCTGAAACCAGCGCCCCGCTTAAGACATCCTCACAAACTGCTCTAAACGCAAACAAGTCTGCCCACCGAAACAGCCAAACCGCCTGAGACAGCCCCACAAACTGGCCGCGAACGGGTCCGTGAAAACACCCCTGGCGGCTCTCCTTTGGGGAGTATGAGTGTGAGTAAGTCTGAGTATGAGTAGGTCTGAGTATGAGTAGGTTTGAGTATGAGTAAGTCTGTGTATGAGTGAGTCTGTGTATGAGTACGTCTGGGTATGATTAAGCATGGGTATGAATAAAGCCTGTGTATGAGTCAGTCTTTGTATGTTTACGTCTGGGTATGAGTGAGTCTTAGTAAATAAGAGTATGTCTGAGTATGAGTAAGTCTGTGTATGAGTAAGTCTGGTTATAAGTAAATCTGAGTATGAGTAAATCTGAGAGGAGGGGAGGAGAAGAAGAGGGAGTAGGAGGCGTCCAAGTAATAACAAGAACTCCATCTTAGAATATGGGGAATCATCCACCATAGGCCAGAGTAGTCGAAAAACCGTCCCCTGACGATTTTTTGATTATCTTTGAATACGCCTCCTGTAGAGATACAGGCCCGACTTAACCTGATCGTCCATCTGCGACGACTGGGCGACTGGGGGTCGACACGTTCCCCCTCGAGCCTACCCTCCTCGCGTTGGCCCTGGCTAAAAGGGCCCTGGGACACACTGGTAAACACACACAAAGCCCAGGATGTCCCACATTTTCCTGTATTTTCTGGGTTTTCGTTTCCCCCCCCCATTGTCAACAGTTTCCCACCTCTTCCTGGGAATCGACGATGACTTGTGTCTGTGTGACTTCCCCTCCTGACTGACCCTCCACTTCCTGCCTTGACGTCCTCGCGACGCGAAGGAACCACGACGGGAGCTCGTTGACAATGTTCGCTGCTCTGGACGCAGAAATCTGGTGCCCAGGAAGGGGCTCAGACCTCCTGGACGCCACGCTACCAACGAAAACACGCCGTCGGTCTCGGCGTCATCCCTCTCCCAAAACATGCGATGTCTTGATTTTGTTCAAGACGCGGTCCCTGAAATCCCGACCCTTTCCCCACGGCCGGCTTTTCATCCAGGCCAGCTTGTCATCCCGAGTCGTTGTTTGACGTTCCTGGGGCCCGGCGAGGGCCCCCCGAGGCCGAAAACGGCGAGCAACCTCCGCCTTGAGTGTTTCAAATACGTTGGAGATCTGGGCCCCAGAGCGGCAGTCGGCGGCGGCCGCCGACGACGCCGCTGGCGCCGATGCCGACGGCGACGGCGGCGGCGGCGAGCGGGCCTCGGCCGGGCGCACCGCCTTCTCGGAGCAGCAGCTGTGGCAGAGCTGCCTCACGATGCGGGTGCTGCCCTCGCGGGGGCGGTCGTAGGGGCGGGGGAGGGACCGGCGCGGGGGGATGGTCTGTCTGAAGTCCCAGACGTGCTCGCGTCGTGACGAAATCATGGTGGGAATTTTGGTTACCATGGCTCGGCCTCTGGGGGCGCCCCGGGACCGTCAACAGACGACGCATCCAGGATGGAGGGCGTTTCACTTTCGATTCCGGCAAGTTCACTTGCGCTGTATTCCTCCTCCCTCCCACTCCATCACCTGTTCAAACAGTGCTGGGACGGAAAGGCGTGCAAATGAGTCCATACTTGTGTGAAATCCAAATGTTTTTTCGGACCTCGTTACATCCCCCCTTCCATGCAAGCAGACTAGCCAGAGTCTACAGAACAACTGCTTCATGAAAAGCCAGTGCCGGGAAATAGGTCGAGACCTCCAGGGGTCCACTTCGTGACAAACATGGCGTCAGGTGTCTGGGATCGTCGGCCTGGAATCGAGGAGCGCCTCGTCAGTACATCCGCGCTGGGCCACCGGTAGCGAGGCACGCACGCTCCTGGCCCCGATCAGCGATGAGAAGACGATCGGGGGACGCTGGGGACGATGATGATGAAGCTGCTGCTGCTGCTGCTGCTGCTGCTGATGATGATGATGATGATGATGATGATGATGATGATGATGATGATGAAGAAGAGAAGGAGGACTAAGACGACTCTCACTCTGTAGAGAACGCCGGGTCTTCCGCCACCTGCAGCTCCGTGATAAGGCGCCAGAGGAGGCCTCGAGACAACAACTGCCCCGCCCCAGAAACCTTCAACAGGGAATTGCACTGGGTAGCCAAATTTGAACCCTACCCGCTGGCGCTCTTGAGCGACGTTCTCACAAGTGGCAGGGAATACGCAACAGGGACCACATGAGTGCACGCCGTGGCAGCAGGCGTAGTCCACGAGGATATATTGCTCGTGATTCCCATCCTCAGAGCTTTAACTTCAACGACCGCAGCTTGCGTGAATAGTTCCTCCGCGGAGAAATCGAACCCCGAGATAATCACTACAGACCTCCAACCGCCATTCGGAGATGTCCAGGCCGACCTCAAGGAAGCGTGCGCACGAGGAGAGTAGCAGAAGGAGGGATGGCGAGGGGAGGAGGATGAGGCGGAGGCGGAGGCGGAGGCGGAGGCGGAGGAGGAGGAGGAGGAGGAGAAGGAGGAGGGTGGAGGAGGAGCGAGGAGGGGGGAATGGGAAGGAGGAGGAGAGGAGGAGGAGGAGGATGAAGATGAAGAGTGGGGGGGAGGAGAATGAGTAGCAGGAGGAGGAGGAGGAGGGGGCGGAGAGGAGGAGGAGGAGGGCGGAAGGGGAGGAGGAGAAGGAGGAGGAGGAGGAGAAGGAGGGTGATGAGGAGGAGGGCGGAGGAGGAAGAGGAGGGCGGCAGGGGAAGGAGGAGGAGGAGGCGGAGGCGGAGGAGGAGGAGGCGGAGGAGGAGGGTGGGATGGGGGGAGGACTCATCTCCCCCTGCGACATGTCCTCCTTTATTCGGCGCCCCTGGCCTCGTAGAGGTCGGCGAAGAAGCTGTACGCGATCACGACAGGCCCGCGGACCTCCTCGGGAAGGGGGGGCGGCGGGCAAGACGGTAGCGGAGGCAAGGGGCTTGAGGGGAGGGAGAAGACGCGGATGCAGCAAGAGGGAGAAGCGAGCCCTGACCAGACCAAGGAGAGGGGAGGGGTGGAGTTCTAGGCTTGGCTGGGCTTGCCCCTCTACGAGGGGGGTGGGGGAGCACACACCCACCCACCCGATCCTGGGGAACTCCCTGTTCCTGCGTGGCTGGCTGTGGTCCCTCGAGAGGCCTCTGGCGCCCTCCTCAGGAAGGGGGGGCGGGGGGCAAGGGGGCTCTCTGGGGGGAAGCCTCCTGGCGCCGCGGGCCGGAGATCGGCTCTGACTTTTGGGGGGCGCGGGG